GCCACTTGCCACTACACCACTTCCGCCCTATCATGTGGTAATGGCGTAAAATTATACGTACATTGTAGTTTTCAGGACATGTTGAAGTCCCTATTCTGTTTTCTTTTGCAAGTGGACTCAAGCTGTGCACATTTAAAAAAATCCTTATTAATACATTAGTACAAAAAACTCAACAAATAATTTGCCAAAATAAGTCATTCTGCAAACCTATTAGTGTTCTCTCCATAAAAGCAATTTTCGTGGTTCAACTCAGTAAGCCATCCCGTACGAGAATCCTGTTCGACATTGAGGCTTTTGTGATCGGTGCCCTGAGGAAGGTGGAGCCGGAGAATCCCTTGTTACTACACAGAAGCAGACGAGTGCCTTCTCATTCGCTTGGCTGCTTTCATCGGCTGTTTTTTTTTTGAGAAATGCCTTTTTGAAGGCAGGTGATACGATAAATTGGTTGCCTGGAGAATGTGAGTAGAGTGCTAAGAAAGAAAGACCAGCTGGTCGACCGGTCGATTCTCAACAAGATGCATGCTGATGTGCGCCCCTTGAAATGCTGAGTCAACTCTGCTTTCTGTATCTGTAGAACAGTTTCACGAACATTGTTATAAAGGCGAAGAGCGCAATGGTAATGGTCGGAACGTACAGATGGAAGTTCACGGGATCAATTCCTTAAAGAGTTTGTCCTTATGTTTTATTAATATAACTAAAAGCCGATACGAATTCCGACTGGACCGAAGGTTTTGCCCAACAACGCGCGAACTGCGGCGTACTTATTCAATGAAAACCAGTCAAAAATGGTAACATCTAACAGTGCGCCTTACTGCCTATCGGCCAACTGGTTCATCACTTTATACGTGTGAATGCTGATAAGCTATGGTAACTTCACCATCGAAGCTGAGTTGGGGTGAAATGGTGCCCCGGTGGTGTAACTGGTAGCACAATTGCCCGGAAAGCAAGGAATCCGGGTACGCATTCCGACGCGGCGAAAGTTTCGCCTACAACTTAGCTTCTGGTGTTAATTCTGTCCTATTCCATTTTACACTCACAAGGGAGGTCGTTCGGGCCCCGAACGATCTCCCTTGTCAGAATTGTCCGAAGTCAAAAAAATGAATTTTCATCACCTCATTCAATCCTCTACACTTTCTTTTTCTCTTCTTTCCTTTTCTGCTGATAATATCTGTTTTAGTTCTGTATCGATGCACCCGGTGAACACCGCTCCTGAGAGCTTGCCATTCCTGAACAACGAGCTCGTATACGACGACGGCTATACTGCTGAAACGGATTCGAGCGACGAAAGTGAGACAGATCTCGCGCGTATTGGCCGCGCCGCTTCCCTCACCGATGTGCCAGACTTCTTAAGTATGTCTGAGGGTACTCACCGACCGGGAAAGGAGAAATCGATATATCTCTTTGTGAGAGCTGCTCGAGAAAAGGAACGATGGTTCCATTTGTGAGTGCAGTTTTTCCCATTTCATCTACTGTGTCAAGTCGATGTCTATTTTCAGACTTCGCGAAGCTTGTGCACAGTCACACACCTACCGAAAGCCTTTAGCTAAGAGAAGTGCCAGCGTGATAAATGTTCCTGATGTGAGTTCTGTTTTCCCATGACTTTGTCCTGATAGAGTTTTCTTAGAGGAGTTTTTTCCTCATTTTGTGTTTTCTCACAAATACTGGTGAGAGTTATTCATTAAAAGGGTCCGTTTAGAATGGTGCGGATAAAACGCCACCTAAATCGCCTTCCAGTCCAATGTTTGAAGATGCAGTCTACAAAAAAATTCATAAACAGTTTGCTGAGTGAGTCTAATATTAAATGAGGTGCTTTCTGATTCGTACTTGGGCAATATTTTCAAATTCAGGCAAATATCTATCATGCTAGGCTATGGAGTGGCTCCGCCTGAGCGAGGGTCTACCGTCTCCCTCGATCTTGGCACCCTAAAGTGGAGACCTGGATGCCCAGAAGAAAATTCGGACTTAGTCGAGTCGATTAATTCAGTTGGAACTAGGTAACCTTCTGCCTTTGGTACATTAGATTGTGTTCGATGTGTATTAGTTTTGATTGTAATTTTGTCTTACTATCAGCGCTGCAGTTTTGTGAGTGAGTAACTGAGTGAGTGTGACCAGAGGAACCTTTTTTTGCAGAGATACACAATTTTAACCCTTCGGCAGGCACGTGATATCGCTTTACTATCTAGGGGGTGTTCGGTTCTCCCGGTAGATTAGGTTAACAGAGCTGCACGATGATGCCTACACATTAGCTTGTGCTTGAGCTTAAAGGCAAAGGACGGACTGAATGTGGGGTATTGTGGCGTTTGAAACTGAGTGTAGAGATGCGAAACGGAACGACAGTGAAGAAAAAGAAGGGAAACTGTCAACAAGGTCGAAAACAAAACCTTCCGGAAGTGAACGGGCATAGCGCCTGCCAGGCGGCTATAGCGAACAATGCATCTTCCTGGGCTTTATTACCGCGCCGTTTGGGATTCTGAGCATGGCAACGTCTTGTGGGTGCGTAACCACGCACAGAGATGATGAAAGGGATTGGTTTGGTCGCCTGATCCTGACCTTTGCCTTTAAGGTTAGACAGGCTGGCTCAGACCTGTTATGAGCGAATCAGTGGTAGCCTGACCTGCGCCTCTATTCTAATCAAGGGTGGCCTGACCTGACCAGGGAGATACCGGTTTGGTTGGATCGAGGAGTACCTGGTACGGCTTGATGGACGGCTGTTATTAATTGTTTAAAAGGCGCTCATAAAAATCAATTTAGAGGTGATCAGTGGTGCAGAGATGAAGAAAAATCATGAAAAAGTGCCCAGAAATCGAGAGATGGGACCCCTTGATTGGGTCTGCTGATTTTCTCATTGATGCAACTCACGTCCCTGCTTCTTCAATGCTAACGCTCGCTCTATCTCGCTTTCTGCTAAACGGCTCCAGTCAGATGGCGAACGTTAGAGTGAAACATCAACGCTCAAAACCTAGCTGTTGGTGGTTAGTTTTCCTCTCTCTTCCTTGCCCTGCAACTGCTGTAGCACTATATTCAACGGGTGAGTGAGTGTGTGCTTGGTGGATATAACTGGGAGTGTCATCAAAGTCCTGCTAACACTAAATGGAGGGAAGGTGTTGCAGTGATGTATGCGAAGCCTTCTATTCTTTTCTTCTTTTCAGAATTTTCTTCGATTTCTGTCGTGACGAATTCTGGGCCAATCAAGTGAAACAAAAAATTCAGAGCAAGTTGGCTACGATTCATGTAAGTAAAGTGAACATTACTTTTCCGCTCATCAATGATCAGCGATCTCATTATTATCATCCTTTTCCAGCTGCCTTATTTCATTGAGACGTTAGAGCTCTCATCGTTGACTCTCGGAAGAACCGCGCCTAGAATTGTTGGCGTTTATACACCAAAGCTGAACGAGTGGGGTATCTGGGTTGATTTGGAGGTGAGTCCACACACTTTCATTTAATTGTGCTTTTTCTTTCACTTTTGCTTTTCTCTTCATTCTTGTTCACTGCGCTTATTCTCCACAGTGATGAGAAAACGTTGAATTCTCGATTACGGTTATACAGTTTATCCGTGACTTATCAATCTTGAGCTTCGCTATGTAATTGAAAAATTCTTTCTTTGAAATGATGGCATAGGGGTGGCGTGGAAATAGCCAGCAGTCGCTTCGTGAAAGACTTCATTTTTTCCAACAGCCGGGTGGGGTCAACACATCGTGGAAGAGATGCGTGCGTGCAAAAGGTGTGCCGAAAATACTAATGCGCGTTATGCCTCCATGACGATCGCGTTGCAATTTTTGACTCCTCAACTTTGGATAACCTTACTTTAGTTTCCTATGCCCCATTCAGTTCACCGGAACGAAGACCTCCAGTTGCTCAAGCTACGTGTAACCTAGGTCGGGCATTGTTATTATGAACGACCTGGAGCTGAACGGGAGTAATGGAGCCTCATGGGAACCATATGAAAACATCGAGGAAGTAGCGAGATGGTGAAGAACATGGGCTGTCTTTGGTTTCGCACTCCATCCTGCCCGTGTATACGTCTCGGATATTGGAGTCTTTACACTCAGTGGAATGCTCGGTTAGGCTCATCCACCGTTTATATGAGAAGCCCAGTGTCTACTCGCACGGCTACTCTGCACTGTGTAGGAATCACCCGCGGAGAGGAATGGTGGGAGAAACTAGTCCTCGTCGAGACTGACACCTAAATCGGTGAAGTGGTCAACCTGATGCGATTTTATGGTTGCGGCAACTCCCTTTTTTGGCGAGCGCAACGGAAAGCAGAAAGAGGGTAGCTGGGCAGGTGCCTCGCGGCACTAGAAAGTCTCCCATCTGTGATGGCATGGTTCTTGTGTCGCAATTTTCACCGCGTCCTTTCATGTGCATGTCAAGGGGGAATAGGGTCCCTTCAAATTATATGCATAATCATCGAGGAAATTATTCTGATTCTATTCCTTTGAATCTTTCCATTCTTCTCCCGTTGAACAAGATAAGAAAAGACGCACTAAGAAAATTAGACTGCAATAAGAAAATACTGCTTTGTAATTTTCATCCAAATATTTCAGATGAAGTATGGAGGTGGTATCCGTTTGGTTCTTCAAACCAGTGTGAATCTTCTCAAGCTTCATCAGGGCTCTACGAAGGTAATTGTTGCAGAAATTGATGACTTTTTTGACCTTATGGAGTAATCTTTATTTGCACTGTTCCACTACATTTATTCAGCTTAAAAAAGGTTGTTCCTAGAGTTCTGTCTCATCTCTTTGCATTTATGGAAAAAGAGCCTTGACGTTCAGTCCATATTTTACATCTTTTTAATTTGTATTCGAACTCTAGTTCTAATGCTTTTCCAACTACTTCGATCTTCCGAATATTTTGATTTGAGGTGGAAACTGAGCGAAAGATGTCTCGCCTGAGCAGTGCAATTGCTTACCCGACGTCGCACTACTCAGATGAGGAGTTGCCGGAAAGTCCTGAAAGCAGTCCCGACGAGGACTTTGGTGCTAAAAATAATCTTGAACGGTCAGTGTTCTCAGTTTCTTTTGGTAGCGAAACCTGCATTCGATTACGGTGTCTTTTTAGTCCAAGTACCAAGGAACGAACTGGGAAGAAGATAATTTCTTTGGTAGAACGTGCTGCACAAAGCAGTCTTTTCCAGAAAGCTGCGAAATTCCCGAAAGTGGCAAAGGTGAGTGTGGAATGCCTTGTTGCGGCTATCTAAAGCATCAATTTTTTATTTATTATATCTATTTTCTTTCAGCTGATTGAAGATGTTTCTTCCACTCCTCTTATATTAAATGTTGAAGTGGAAATGCTTGAAGGCCCAATTACGATAAATATTCCACCTCCTCCATCTGATCGGCTATGGTACGCTCATTCGTTTTTATTTTTTATCTTTCATTTTGTATATAACTTCCATTTTCCTCACTTGCCCTCTTTCTTTGATACGACATTGTCGTATTTGTAGTGCCTTTCCTTGCTTCTCTCGCGAATGTGAGGCTCCTAGTTCCGTTAATTTCGCTGTTTACCTCCTGCCACTATATCGGCTTCCCTCTAGCCCTATTTCTCCCTTATTTTTGCAATCCAATTTTTTTAAACAGCATTCCCTCTTGTTCACAGTAGTTTTTAGATGACTGAGGGGTTATCTTGTTGTCTATATGTTTCTTCTTCTGTATTATTTTTCTGTCTTTCCCAGCACTTTCCTAATTTTCTTTCCGAGTTGCGTTCCACCATGGTCTGTCTTGGTCATTGAATGCATGAGGCTAAGGTTCCATGCTTGTATGGGTTCAGTGTGCTTGCGTCAAAACATAATTTGCGTCCTGTTGTTTATGATTGAGCCATTTATATATGACTTGAACATTTCATTCTTAGGTATGCGTTTCGACGGCCACCCATTGCTTCTATCAAAGCCGTTCCTCAAGTTGGTGATCGGTCTGTTGATATGACAACTGTATCCGATTGGATCGAGTCAAAGCTTCGTCTACTAATCGAAAAGAATCTTGTATGTCCCAACATGGACGACATCGTACTGCCTGTTATGTCTGGGAATGACCTTTTACGCAAAGGTGCGTACAACCAGTGATCCTCCTGAGTCACTCGTTAGGATTCTTACCCATTTCACTTAATGAATTTTCCTCGCGGAGTGCTTTGATTTTTTTGTAGAATATTGTCGCTTTAATGTAACTAGTTGTTTTCGATGGTGAAGGTTTTCTAATGGCTTCAATTTCTAGTCTTTATCCGTTTTTGAATGTATATGTATGGAATGTATTCAATTGAGTACTGGTTCGATTGCTTTCGTCTGCAGGGTTTCTCTTATTTATGCATGTTTCCCTCCTTTTGTGGAATTTTGTATAATTTTTTTTTACATTTTGTATAATTTTTTCCTTAGGAATGTTGCAGCTGTGATATTCAGTCTTGTAAATTTGTTTTCACATTCCTTTTGATAAATCTAGCTTTACCCAGTTTTTTTTCTCAACAATGCTGGGTTGTGAACCAAACTTTCGCCCCAGACGGGACTCGAACCCGCACTCTTGCATGTTACCGAGCAAGTGCGCTACAAGTTACGCTACCGGGGGCACCATTTCATAACTACCAGTCCTCGCGTATACTCACTATAGCTGTCAGCACACCACACATACAACTATGAGCGGTACACGACATCTACAGTGATATCGCAAGGTGCTGAAACTCACAACTGATTGACTATTGTTTGCCCTTGTTTAAAGTCACGATAACGATCGTTTGGAAGACTCAGACCGAACAGGGTCATGCCATTTTTTTTTCCTTTTCTTTAACCATGTAGAAAAACAAGAAATTCCGTCAGAAACCAAACAGTACCCACTTTTGCCGGTTATTTTACGCATGAGCAGTACTGCTCAGGAAACGGACGTATCAACGAGTTCACCGCTGCGCGTTCGGTGGCACCATGCTAAACCACGCTCCAATCGGGTTGCTCCAGTTGTGCCGCTGCTGGTAACGCAGCTCGTCCAAATCAACAGGTAAACTGTGGTCGATCGGGGAATTGGGCGGCAGTGCCTGAATCCTGCTCAGCAACCAGCGCACCTTTCGCTGTGAACGCCACACTTCGCCTCCTCTTGGCAGCCAAGTAACTGCCTCGTATGGTGCATATGCTCCCGAATGCGCTCTCTCTTTATCGTAATCGCTTCCTTTAAGTTTGTTAGGCCGCACATCGCCTTGGCAAGCCTCACAAGAAGGCGGTTGTGAACTCGTCGTTTGATCAAAAATCCCACTACTATGTGATGAACTTTACACCCTTGCATGCAACAAATATTTGTGACCATTTGTTTTTGTATTAACGAACAAAAATCCCGCGCTGAAGAGGTAGACCACGCGCCCCATCAAACAATCGCTCCGCCGCACCGACCCGAAGTGGACGGCGCAATCGGAATCCATTAACCCATTCGTGACAATGTCAGCCACCGGTGGCTGACAAAGCTCTCACTCGGGACAATGGCATTACTGTGGCTGCAGGGCTTGAAATGGAATTTGGAAAGTTTTCTTCCATGAAAAGAATCTTCATACCCTCGCTCATCTACGCCAGCCCTGGGCAGAGGAAATCTCCCTCCACTCGAATTTTATTGAAGAAAAATCTCCTGACGCTGCTGCTATTGCGCAATCCTGCGCGGTCGCGAATGGGTTAAAGTAATTACACTTGAAACTTTCCAATATAAATATACCACTAGACATCATTACTACATTTATCCATCACAATGAAAGCGAAGAAACCAAGATAACAAGTCTAGAGAGCTCCCGTTGATAGGACCTTCCTGAAAAAATTCTTGGCCATACCCATCCGATTTTCAATTAAAAGTTCATCCGAGACGCTTCCTGAAAAATCCTTGAGCCATAATGCCGATTTTCAGTGTAAAAGTCTGCAATTCAGACAACGATGTCGTTACGACAATACGAGAGCAGAACTGCCAAACCATATATCAGCGAGGAAAAAATCAGGCGAAATCATAAAGCCGGGAAATGGGACACATATTCTGTCCGCTGATTTTAGACGAGTTCGCGAATAAGGTTGTGAGCTCCTGCTCGAGGCATATGACGTAGTTGTCAGACTCAACGATTGCGCAATCGCAACAACGCTCATGCCACTTTCCCGCGCCTACGACAGGACTCTCGTGAGCGTGTTGTCTATCGCCACTTTCCACGCTCTCAAGTCCCACGGATCATTGAATAGAGGAAGAGTGCTACCGCGACAGCGGCCCTGACACGCTGTCGATTGTCGAATCTGTCATCTAGCTAGTTGAAGGCACGACACGACAAGATTGTCATAACATGTGGTGTCGTTGTTTTGGAGAGATAAACTCTCGGCGCTAATAGTTAGGCTGGTGTCAGAGCCTGCGATCCGCCGCAGGTTTCGCGCGATTCACACGAATCGCAAAGTCGATTGCCCCATTTGAACATTTGAAACACTGAATATGAAACAAGTAGAATCATGAACAGTCGTCATTCAGCCATCACCATCAAGCAGAAATGGCGGCGGGATTGGAGAGCACCTTGCAGTATTGATCGGGCACTTGTGATTTCTGTGACCCATCGCGCGACTCGCGCAAATCCCATCGCGGACTCTGACACCAGCCTAAAGAGGGCACTCACCGTCGCGGCGAGCGACATGACACATCCTTACAACGACAAACACCCTCGCACATTCCAGTCTATGTACCTGTCAAGTGGCTCTCCACCTTCATCCCTTGAACTGTCTAATCACCGTGGTACAAGGATTCCTCGTCCACATTGGGGAGTGCGAACATGCTGCGCGTCGCAGTGGTAAATTGTCCCCCTCTCCTCCAATTTGGTTAGCACCAAACTCTCAGGCAGCCCTGGTACTATTTGCAAAGGTGGTTGTAAAAAGTTCATTTACTAAGGTTCACTTAAACACACAGCAATTGTTCCCAGAAAATAAACAGAACATCTGGTGCTCTTCTACTATTTTTCTCTTGCTTCCCTCATGGAGCATTTCGCAGAATTTCGTAACTCCAGGGACCACTGTAAGTTATGCCGGAGCGCCCATTTGCTAGCAAGGCGCGAGCCGCTTCCTGACCATCCTCAAGTTCTCTTGAATCGTGCCCTCCTGCTGTTATGATGCCTGTCCTTCGAGACTGATACATGCTCAGCGCAGCGCGCCGTACCTATAAGATAGACAGAATCCCCCTGCCTGACCAGCTCCTGGGCTTGACGCTCCATAAATCCCTCTCTAGATTGCAAACGCCACCCTCATCATTAATGCGTCCACCCTCCTGTCAGGATTCCCACGAGAAGTCCCAAGGCGATTCCATGATCATTGACCGTGGAACACAACCTCTGCCCTGACAAATTCGGGGATACATCATCACATACATGGTACTTACATTTAAAAAAAGCTTCTACGGTGCAAACTGACATAACTCGAGCAACCTTGTGCCCGGTAATTTATTAAATAGTGAGAGGACTAGCCGGGCATTGACAGAGTGCAACAACGGAAAGCTCAAGGCAAGCCTAGCAGCCCTGGCAGGGCGCGGCTCTGGGCTGGAGACCCCTCCTTCTACTCAGGATGACTACCCTGACCCCAAATCATGACAGCGCTTTAGAGCACGTGTCGATAAAACTGTTAAGGACACCAATAATGAAGGTAAGTTCGGAGAGGTAGGAAGCGAAAACCATGAACATAATCAAAATTAATGACGAAAATGCTAAAATAATTTCCCTTAGATCGTGAGGTTCAGAGCGAGCAGAGGAAAACAGCAAATGCAGACACGTCTTACGAGAACACACAGAGAACGCTGTTGCGCCGGCTCCGAACATAATGGAACAAGCTTCCCCTGTATGCCGTAGCTCCACCATATTTTTTGCTGACAGCGTCAACTCGTTGTAGGTCTCAGTGAGAGTGTACTCTGGACCAAAGAGCTCGATACACTGATCAGAGAAGAAGCTTAAACAGTACGCTAGAAGACAGAAGAAGACGAATCTGAATGAAGAACTTACTCCACTGGTATCGTGCTTCCAAAAATTGCGCTATTTCCGTAGTCGGTTGTCTGGAAGTAGCCGAGTTCGGTGCACGTTTGCCATATCCAGCTACGCGTTGCAACTGAAACAACGATTGCACTTAGGAAGTTTCTATTCGGATGGTTGAGTGCTTTTATTCCTCTTTCCTCTGCATTTCTAGTTCTTCATCCAAATTTACTGTGAAGCTTACGGATGTAGCTCAATTCTTTTAAAAGTCACATTAATTACGAGCCTCGTGACATCGAATTTGAAGAGTGAAATTTGGTAAGAGCATTTAATGCGAGATGAATTGACTAAGCTTATTCCATACACGAATACCGAATCAAATGGGAATTTATTAAAGGCAAACCTCGGGATTAGCCCGACTTGTAGGAAGGATACCGCGAGGGAAATTGTAAGGTCCCTACCTAGATCACTTCCAGCTTCGTCGCAAAATTGCGCGGTTAGGGCGCTAATCCTTACGGGCCTGCAACCATCGACCCCGTTGCAACGCTTCCCACCCACCGCGATGTAGAGATCAGCGTGCTCTCTCGCGTGTTTTGTCTTCTTTGATCGCCCTGTCTCGCCATCGTACCACATCCGACCTTATTGAAGGTTAAGGCCTTAATTTCAGCGTTCCCAAAGATTCTCTTGCTTTCCTTCCACTTTCAGGTCGTTCCGCAGCTAAGCTATCACTACGAAGCGCTCTTAGCACCAGTTTAATCCCTGGTTTGTCTTTAATATAATTTTTGCTGTGAGCAATCATATGTGATAACGTCGGTTTTCTATAAGATACCATTACTCGAGAATTAGTTATTATCTAGACGGAAAGGAAGTGCAACATTCCAAACTGCATCTCTCGGTCTTCGTTTCTTCTGCGGCTTAATTCGAACAGGTTAGCTAATGACTTAATAATTACGGAGTATTGGTTTGATTTTACTGGGAAACAAACTCTTCCAGCCGAAAAGTTCCATGTTAATAAATAGCAAGCATTATCACGCTTGCTGAGCTTACAGATGAATTAGAAATTGCTGATACGGCTATTTCGAGACAACTACATGTAACAGATAAAGATCCGAAAGGGAAAGAAATGGC